ATATACATTTAAATATCACATTAGTTCTCTTTATGCGAAACCCAAAGGATAAATAAGGACAAAAATGTGCGCTAGCTATTGGAAAGTAGGAAGAAAATGTTCCAATGGGAAGAGGAACAAAGGAGAGGGGAGGAGAAAGGGATGTGAGGGAATAAGGATACTAAAGAACAGGTGGAAACAACAGAAACAAAGTTTTATAAATGAAGAGGGGAAGAAGGACTGTAGGGAATGAAGGGAATGGGAAAAAAGAGAATTAAAATATATTACGTGCAAGTACAAATTCCCTATGAAAATCATTATGTATGTTAAAGGGGTACCCACAAGGGGCCAGGGATGTAGCTCAGTGGCCCAGTGCCTGCCTGGCAAGTGCCACATCCTGAGTTCTAGTCCCCATATTCCCCCTCCCGCCGAAAAAGAGTATATCAGTATATCAGTATATCAAGTGTAAAATAATTTTTACACTTGATCTTAGCCAAAAGGCCAAGTAGTTAAAATCATTTTAAAACCTTTTTATTTATTTATTTGGTAGAGGATCTCGCTGTGCAGCTCCGACTCAGTTGTGATCCTCCTGTCTCAGCCTCCCTGACGCTGGGATAACAGGTGTGCACCAACCAGGCCCAGTTGTGGTGGGTGGCACGGCATATGGTACCAGGGATCAGACCTGGGTCCTTGCATTTGCCAGGCAGATGTGTGCACCAACCAGGCAGATGTTAGATGGCCGAGCTATCTTCCTAGTCTAGTAACTAAAATTAATTAAAAACAAAATACAACAAAGAACAAATGTGCACTACCACATCCGTCCGGCTTGGAGAGACTCTTGATAGCAGAAGTGCCATGTACATGGAGCTGTCATCTACATCCCTTGTCATAACTCCATCCATCCTCTGGGAACATGGAACCCGGAGCCCCTCACCTGGCACTTCCCTTCATCTCCTTGCATCTCATCCTCAGTCTTAGCACCAGTTCATTTAAAGATTTATTTTTTTATTATTTGTGTGTGTGTGTGTGTGTGTGTGTGTGTGTGGCCAGCTCAGCCCACCAGGGGGCAGGGCTGGCTGGCATGTGGTGCTGGGGGATTGAACTGCAGTCCCTGTGCTTTGCTAAGCTTGTTCTAAGTAGGTGGTTTAGACCACTGAGCCATCTCCCCAGTACAAGCACCAGCTCATTGCCAGTCTTCTTTCTCCAGGCCTGAAGTCCACAAGGAAAGAGCATGGATGGGACCAACAATAATCAAGCGCTGACCATGTCCCCAGCACACAGTGTGGTGCTTTTCTCAAATGATATGGTTTAACCTTAGCAGGCAATTATTATTTTTGCCTCCAGGTTACACTGAGAACCGAAGCCTAGCAAGCAGGGCTCCAGGTGCAGCGGAAGAGCCGGTTTAGTCTCCGTGAAATCCCTCCAGGCCAGCTGGCCTCTCATCCCTGACTCTGTCGTCTGTCTGGATTTGTGAAATGTGCACATTTAACATGCATGCGCCCAGGAATGAGAAAGATACTGCAGGAATCACCCCAGGCAGTCTCCAACCCTGTTCCTTTGCTGAATAAGCCTCATGGGGTCCCACTTAGGCTGAGCATTGGGCTGTGGGTCTGGACGAAGCCCGGACAAGACAACATCCCTATGGACCACTGACTCAGGCGGATCACAGGACCCTGCTTAGGCCACACGGGTCACCTCAGGCCCATATTTCCCTCTCCATTCCTGTGCCACAGCAGTGCAGAGGGCCTGGTTGATCCATCCTCTGCTGAGTCCTGCAAGCACACTGCTCGGTGCCGCAGTGCAGAGGTAGGCAAGTGTGGCCGGGCTACTGTGTGCACTGGGCTCTGGAGGTGGGGCACCGCTCCCCCACACAGGAAGGGCAGCGTGTCACTGTAGAGGGAGCATTTCATTCTTCTTGTTTTGTTGTGCCAGAAACTCTTTTGAATCTGGTGATGTTTACTGACTTCTTTGTTTTTGTGGTGCTGGCGACCAATCTTAGGCCCTCAGGCATGTTCGTGAGTGCTGTGCCTCTGAGCTAGGGCACCAGCCCCCACATTGATGTGTCCCTTGCCAGGCACGGTGGCACTCTCCTGTAATCCCAGCACTCAGGAGTCTGAGGCAGGAGGATCACTGTTGAGTTTGAGGCCAGGCTGGGTTACCTAGTAAGACCCTGTTTCAAATAAAAAAGTTTTCCCCACCCCCTTGAGCTACAGCTTGAACCCAGGGCCTCACGCAAGCTAGGCATACAGTCTACCACTGAGCTATATTTCAAGCCTTTCTTCTTTTTTTGTTCTCTGGTGCTGGGGATGGAATCCAGGGTTTTGTGCATAGCAGGCAAACACTGTATATCCACAGGCCTAGAAATGATTTATTTACTGGGTTTTTAAAATAGGGTTTCACTATGTAGTTCAGGCTGACCTTGAACTCACTATGTAGCCTCAACCTCCTGAGTGCTGGGATGCACATATGTGCACTACAAAGGATTTAAACATGTAGAGAAAAAAAGTCCACAATTATGATTGAATATATAAGACAGGATTATAAAACTTTTTTTTTTTCAGTACCAAGGATTGAACTCAGAACCCTGCACTTGCCTGGCAAGTGCTTATTCTACTGAGCTATCTCCCCAGGCCTATATAGCACTTCACGATAGTTTCATTTATGAAGAGAAGAAGGGTAGAGGGGAAGGGAGAAAGAAGAAAAAGTTATCCCTGAACAGAAAACTATCCCAGTGCAGATACTTGGCCTTGTCACCCATTCCACTGAGAAAATAGGGCAGGTCAGTGGCTCCAGGTCATGGCCCCATTTGGCTCCTGGAGAGCTTTCCTGGCAAGTGCAAGGGCCTGAGTTCAATCCCTGGTTCCGCAAAAATAAATAAATAAAAAATAAAATTACATCATTAGGGCCAGCAAGATGGCTCAGCGGTCTAAAGCGCCTGCTTAGGCAATCTTAGGCAGGCACAGTGGACCACAGGCAGGATCTAGTGTGTATGTTTAAAAAGGAGCCTCGGCCCGCTGCCTTGTGGAAATGGTCAGAGAGGGCAACCAAGATGTTAGAAGACAATAAATGCCTCTGCGAAGGAGCATCTTTTTTTTTTTTTTTTTTGTAAGTGGTGGAAGCATATGGGGGAATGATGGCAGATACCATTTCTTTTGCACTGTTCTATAATGTATGTCTGTTGAGACAGAGTCTTACTTTATAGTTCAGGCTGGCCTTGAACTCACAGCAGTCCTCTTGCCTCAGCCTACTGGGAAAGTAGGTTTTGTTTGTTGTTTTGTTTTTTGCAGTACCGGGGATTGAACTCAGGACCTTGCGCTTGCGAGGCAAGCGCCTATTCTACTGAGCTAACTCCCCAGCCCCTGAAAGAAACATCTGGATCACCACGGCCTCCAAAACAACAACAGCCTGGCTCCTCCCCAACCTACCCCATCTCAGTAAGCAGCACCACTGTTCGCCTTGCTGTTTAAGGCAGATTTGCACTGTCCTCGCACCCTCCTTCTCCCTCATTTTCTACACCTAGTTTGCCAGGCAAGTGCTTATTCTACTGAGCTATCTCCCCGGACCCTAGTTTACTCTTTTTCCCTGCCTACGTCTGCCTTTAGGCAGCCATCATCGTCCCCAGGCTGTTTGCTCTCCGTAGTCGCTGACGGCTCTGAATTTACTAAGTAGACCGGGGTTAGGACTCCCAATTTGTGAGTGCCCAGCCTCAATCTCCTGAGGGTGGAGATTACAGGGATGATCTACCCTTTTCTTCCTTCCCAATAGTTTATTCTCCACGAGGCGCCAGGAGCGTTTTTTTTAAAGAATACAGATCTCTTGCAACTCCATAACATTCACCCCTAAAAGACACCCTTCGCCTTCAGCATCTTTAACGTCTGGAAGGAGAAGACAACCGAAAGGGGCGGGGCCAAACGCGTAGCCTTTACCTAGTTTGCAGCCCTTCTGGACTCCGGAACCTTTCTTTCTGGGAATAGGGGACGCTTTTCCACAGTACCTTCCTGTATCGTCGACTCTTTTTCCCGTGCTGCACTGCAAGCTTTCTTTTCATCTTCCGGTTCCAGGCGCTTGGTCGCCGCGGTTTACAGTGAGTTTTGAAAGCTGGGCATCCGATGCCATCCGTGACCTATGGGGTGCTGCGGGTTGTGGGGAATTGGTCGCAGGGACGAGAGGAAGACTGGGATGTGGCTGTGGGGAGTGGAAACTGCAGGATGGGGATGTCGCTTTTAAATCCTCGGGGATGGTAGGGAAAGGAAGCGGGGAAGCAGTCGGATTTGACCCGCGAGTTCAGCCTTGCAAGTTGGGCGAGAGTTGGTCTCGGGGCTTCATTACCCGAGTTTGAGAGGCAGGGGCTGGCCTCGGGTCGTGCAGGGTGAGTTGAGGCATTCGGAGGTCTGCTGTCGGGTTCCTGGCCTCGTGTTGCACAGGATGAGGGCGGCAGAAGTTCCCTAGCCCGGCGACCTCCTACCTCTGATCTCCACTCTTGCCTTGTAGGTGCAGTTATGGCCAAGTCCAAGAACCACACCACGCACAACCAGTGTAAGTTTCTCGGACCCCGAACTCATCAGATTTGGTTTAGGGACTGGAGAGTACAACCAGGGGGCACATTTCCATTGCTACCTTGGAGCTGATTTTGTTTATTTACTTTTTTCCTGATTTTATTTCCAGCCAGTGTCTCAGGAAGTCCTCATCTGGGAAAATAATGGTTTCTTTTAAAGAGTGGTATAGGTAGGGTCTTGCTAAGTTTCCTAGGCTGACCTTGAACTTGCAATCTTTATACCTCAGCTTTCCAGAGCACTGGGATTCACATCTGATCAAATTGCCTTTTTTCTCTTTCCATAGCCCGAAAATGGCACAGAAATGGCATCAAGAAACCTCGGTCACAAAGATACGAATCTCTGAAGGGGGTGAGTGTGTACACTGAATCACGTAAAGCGTCCCTTCCTGGCTCCAGCTTCAGTTTCTGCCTTGAGTGTTGCTGTCCCTTGACTTATGTGGTCTACGGAAGTCCACAATTCTTTCTCTACTTTGCTGAATGCTTGATAAAGCTTTCCTTGGCTGTCTCCCTTGTTCAGCTGGAGCCCTCAAGGGAAGTAATCTTCCTCTAGTCCACATTTACCGGCCTTACGACATTGACATGACCCAGTACTGGGCTTGGTGGGTACTGTCCTGTCTGTTGGGGTTCTGAGGATAAGCTGAGAAGGCTGTAAGGTGTAGGGAAGAACTGAGCTTGTCTGCATTCTGTTTCTCTCCTACATCTTTGCTTTCAGATATTTGATATAAATTTGTTGGGCTTGGTGGTATTTGACACTTTCCTTTAAAGAGGAAGGGAGTATCCCTGAGGGAAGTTCGGGAGAACTATTTAGCTAAGCTCCTACTGTAGTAAACATGCCCTGCAATCCCGGCAGAGGGCAGCCTTCCTCATTTTATCTGCAGTAGCATTGACTATTAGCAGCTTTAGAAATGTTTTTACACCTTTAGCAAGGTAGGATATTGGCTCCTTGGGGTACATGCGCCTTTGGAAATAGCCTTTTTTCTTCATAATAGCCTGTTTTTATAGAACTCGACACCCTTATGGAAAGCGGTGCAGAGGATGACTTGGAGGCTCTTGTGTTACGGTTATGTGGACTAGAAGTAGCGCAGTCTTGTGTACAAAGGAAAGAATTGCCAGGCATATACCTTGTAGTTTGTATCAAGTAGCTACATTTATTGAAGATCATGGGACAGTGGCAGGAGCAGGGCGAAGGGTGAAAAGGGTGAAAAAAGAAACTTGGTAACTCAGCCCTTCTGGTATTTGTAGGTTCAGGCACTGTGATCTAAGGTGCCTCCTGCTGTCTCTTACTGATGGCTGCAATCTGCAGGAGCTCCTAAGCTTAAACCGAATCTTCAGGGTCGTGTGTTTCTGGTCGAATGGAGAGAAGGGAAGTGGCTCACGCAACTTCCTGTTTTAGGATTATGGAAGCTTGGATAATCATTAGGGTGGTATGGTATTTAATCCCTACTTTTTTTTTTTTTTTTTTTTTGGTGGAACCAAGGATTGAACTTAGGCCCTTGCGCTTGCCAGGCAAGCGCTTACTCTACTGAGTCATCTCCCCGGCCCTCCACTCTTTTTTTTTATTTTTTATTTTTTTGATCAGGAACTGATCTCAGGACCTTTTGCTAGTCCGGTAGGCCCTGTGCTGCTGAGCTATATCCCTAGCAGGTGTAGCATTTAAATTGAACGAAGGGAAGGGAGTGACTCAACTCCTTTGTTTTTTAACTATACTAACATGCTACCACCTGTACCTTTTCTCCTTTCCAGGTGGATCCCAAGTTCCTTAGAAACATGCGTTTTGCCAAGAAGCACAACAAGAAGGGCTTCAAGAAGATGCAAGCAAACAATGCCAAGGCCATGAGTGCACGCGCTGAGGCTATCAAGGCCCTCGTCAAGCCCAAGGAGGTCAAGCCCAAGATCATTCCAAAGGGAGTAAACCGCAGGCTTGCTCGACTTGCCTATATTGCCCACCCCAAGCTTGGGAAGCGTATCCGTGCCCGCATTGCCAAGGGTCGCAGGGCCTGCCGGCCAAAGGCCCAGGCTCCAGCCAAGGCTGAGGCTCCAGCTTCTGCTCCAGCCAAGGCCCAGGCTCCAGCTTCTGCTCCAGCCCAGGCTCCCAAAGGTGCTCAGGCCCCTGTGAAGACTCCACAGTGAAAGCCTCTTACTGCTGATGTAAAAACAGAAGGACTGGGGTGCCATCTGTGGGGGGGCTGGTGTCCTCCTGTGCTCTTTGTACAAATAAACCTGAGGCAGGATATGTTAGCCTGAATCTGTCATGCAGGTGTGGGGGCTGGGATGCAGCTGCTGACTCCTTTGGGAAGGAAGGAAACAGCTGCTGTTAATGGCCAGATGTGGGTCAGTGCAAAAGGACAGACCTGGTGACAGTGATTGGGGCTTGGGGGAGCTGGGGTGCCTAGCTTGCTGAACTTGGGTTCTGTGCTGAGGAAGAAATTTGTCAATACCCGAAGGCAGTGTTAGTGAACCTTTTACAGGCTGAGTGCCAGACTGCAACCCAAGGCCCACTTAGTAGCAAAAAGTCCCCCCACTGCAGTTAAACCTCAGTACCAATACGGAGGATTTAGTTTAGTAAAAACTACATTTAACATCTTTTGTCTTAAAACACAGTAAGATGGGTATGCCCCACTGCTTTGAAGGAAGGCCCTGCTGTCCTCTGTTCCAGCCTGACCTGTTGCTACTGCTCCTGGTCTGGGTTGTGTTGGTTCCCCGAGAGCTAGGGACTTGGGAAGATGGGGCTGTGGTGAAACTGCCTTACCATGACTGTATCGTTCACACTTTAATCCTCATGGTAGTCTATGGCGTAAGCAGTGGCTAGTAGTCACCTACAGACACTTTCTGTAGGGCAGGCCAAGTGGAGCATGTGGTTACACTAACCTGGCAGAAGAGAGCCTGTAATCCTGGCATTCTCAAACCCAGACAGGAGGATCACAAATGCAAGCCCCAGTCTGGGGAACAGTATTCAGCGAGACCGTGTCTCAGAAAGGCTGGGCATGCAGTACAGTGCAGAGGCCAGGGGTTGAATCCCCAGTACTGCAAAGAAAACTGGCAAAAGCAGTAGCCACAGCCTATGGCTTATGATCCTTCTATTCATAGAATAGGTATATATTTTTTAACACAGGAGGAAATGGTCATGTGACTAAAAAGGGCTAGAAGTAGCATTTGAGCCCAGGTGGATCAGGAAGTAGGATTTAGCTTGCCCAGCAGCCTCAGGCTGTTACCTGTGGGTGGCCCTGACCTTGTCAGGAGCTGTCAGCGTAGAAGTGTAGGGTCTTGAAAAGCAAGTGGGTTTTGTGTTAACTTGGCCCTGTCAGCGCAAGGGTACCCTAGAGAGGTGGCATGGAGGCTCCTTCCCCAGTCATGCTGTAAGGGGTGTACTAAGGAGGTCCGGTGTGTATGGCTTACTGGATGTGGCTCAGCCTGCTGTCAGCATAGCTTGTTTCTGCATCTCCAGTATCCCATGTCAAAGGGCCTGTCTGTGTAAGGTCAAAGTCTGGTGCCTTGCCAGGAGGCCCTGGAGTTAACTGGCCACAGTCGCGTACTTAAGCTGTGCTTCCGTCTCATACCTGAAGGGCTGGACTGATGGAACAGTCTTATCTTGGGCCACAGGTGACTTGGCACTCCCTGCAGACCTACCAAAGCTGTTTCAGAACTGTTAAGTTCTGGCCCTGGTATAACTTAACATTATTATGGTGGTCATCTAATATGGCTGAAACCCTTAAAACAACAGCTTATCTTCCCAGTGACCACTTCCTTCTCTCCCACTCCAGCCCTGGATACCATTTCCCCTCACCTTTCTCTCTCTCTCTCTCTCTCTCTCTCTCTCTCACACACACACACACACACACACACACACACACACACGAGACCCCAGTCAGCTCCTTACATGTAACTGAAACTGACCCCCCCAAATCTACCTCTAGCAAAAGCTCACAAAAAAACCCTCAGCTTTTTGTCTTAGGATTTTCCCATCTGCCTTTGATCCGCTGTGTCTTTAGAGGTAATAAAGGCTTTTATCTTTCTTAGCTCTTTATTGAAAACTTCTCAGCAGTGCTCAATGTGAAAAGCTGCCAGAGGAGGAAGGTGCCAAAGACCAAAGAATCAAAACTGGGATTGCCTAAACAACTTATTGGGGACCTAAAGACTGGGGCATGTCTCAGGCAATGGCAGACAGGAGCGACCTCATACCTACTGAGGCAGGAGGAAGGTGCTTATGTGCTGAGCAGGACAAAGCCTGAAGCCAACTGGCTTTCTCAAGAAGTACTAATAAGGGCTGGGGACACAGCTCTGGTAGAGTGCTTGCTTGGCATGTGCAAGGCCCTAGTGCCATCCCTAGCCATCAGCACACCAAATGTTAGGTAGGTTATTAATGACTTCATTCTGTAGGGTTTGGAATGTGGGAGGGTCACCTGGCAGGCAAAAGCATGGTTATAACCAACATGGTTGGCTGTAGGTATCAAACTGGTTTCCTATAAGCACCAAGACTAAGGCCCACCTCCTGGGTCCCTCCACACATACCATGACCTATCTGCTGGGAACCTCGAATACCTGGTCTACCAGGGCCCCTGCTCCCCATAGCAGAGACCATGGGTTTTGACAAAACACAACAAAAAAGCACTCATATCTTACCGTCCCACTAGTGTGTGGCTTAGCTGGCCCGATTCTGGTCCTGCCCTACAGTACCAAGGATCCTCCAAGAAGGCTAGGAGCAGTACCTTGAGGTGCTTGTCTTGGTACTGGCTTTCAGTGGGAGCAATATCCCCAGCTGCACAGGTCAGATTTAAGCTTGGTGGCCCCTGAGCACAGGAACTAAGGCTCCTTGTTGGTGGGCAGATGTGGCTCAGGGGTATGGGACAGTATGTGATGGCAAGGGGCACAAAGCAGTGTGGGCTGGTAGGCAAGGGCACAGCCAGGTTCACTGTGTCTGAAAGGGAGGGTCACAGCACATCAGCAGAGAAGTGAGAGCTCCTCCACGAATGTTTGCACTTAGAACTTCAAGTGTGGCCTCTGTCTGAACAGCCTGTAACTGGGCAGGAGAAGAGGAAATCCTTGCTGTGTTTGGGGTGGAAGCTCCAGGGCAGAGGCCAGGGTTCTGGGGCTCAGTGCTCAGTGGGCAGGGTGGGCACACTAGCCAGGGTGGGCAGCAGGCGTGTGTATATGTCAATCCCCCGGAGGAACACGGCCTCGTGCAGCCGCTCATTATGGTCGTGGAGCAGCACCGGCGTCCGGTTCATGGGTGAGAAGCCCAGTGCAGGCACCCCTGCCTGCAGAGTCGAGAAGGAGCTGTCAAGGAAAGGCAGCATTCAAGCTAGCCCCCTGTCCACACTACCCTCGAGCAGCTCACCGCGCGGATATAGCGGCTGTCAGTGGCAGCAGGAAAGATCTCCAGCTCCAGTGTGAGGTTCCTGCAGAGGCAAGAGCCTGATGGATGGGGAGGTGATGGGGAAGGCCTCAGGGAGAAGCAAAGGCATAGAGGAAAGCAGAGGAGAGGGAAGGGGAAGAAGACAGGAAGGACAGGGCTGTGGGAAAGGGCTGGCCGGTGTGCTCACATGTCCTTGCAGGCCCCGCTGAAAGCTGCCCACCAGGGGTCTGCATCATCGGTAGAGGTCACTCGAGGCTCCGTCCATTTCTGTGGGAGGGGAAAGAGGGCAAGATCAGGACAGGGAGAGGGCAGGGCACACCCCACCTGCACCTACTCAGACATCCAGTGGCCAGGGTGACCACAGGTCCTCAAAAGCTCTGGGTCTGGGACCTTCCTTCACACTGCTACTTGCCTCCTGTTCTTTCTTCAAAATGGTTCAGACCCTGGTCAATAGTGAATGAAATGGTCTGAAGTACAAGATCGAACGCTTCCTGGACCACATGTGTGCGTACTCGTCAAAGTCATATTATGTAAATACTTGATTTATAACTATCCTCTTCATGCCCTGAGGACCATGAGGGTGAAAACTGAGCCTAGCCCAGGAGTGGCACACATCTGTCATCCCAGTGCTTGGGAGGCTGAGGTAGGAGGCTCTCCATGAACAGAGGGCCAGCCTGAGCTACGAGTTTAAGGGAAGCCTGAACTACATATTTTCTATCTAAAAAAATAAATAAATAAAAAAGCTCAGTGTTAACTATCTGCTAGTACCCATAATGGCTTCTATAGCTAAAGCCTGTTTTGTTGGTTTTTTTTTTTTTTTTGAGACAGGGTCTCACTATGCAGTTCGGGCTGATCTTGTGCTCACTTTTGTAGCCCCCAGAACTCTCAAAGATCCTCCTGGCTTAACCTCCCAAGTGCTGGGATTACGGGTGTGCACCACCATGCCTGCATCTGGGGCCAAGACTGCACGCATGTGGGGCCGGGAATTGAACTTGGGTCCTTGTGCTTCTGCCTCTGAGCTATCTCTCTGGCCCCTAAAGCCTGCTAACAAAACATCTCTTGTAGCTAGAACAAGGCCCAGACACAGTATGGCACACACTGCTACACTGTCACATACTGGGACAATCCAGTCTCTTTTAGTCCCCAGACTCCCTTATCACAGGTTCAAGACGATACCTGAAGAAAATCAAAGGTGACCCCCTCACCAGCTTCCTGGCACCATCTTTGGAGCTGCTTCTCGAAAGCCTAAGAGAAGAGACAAGCTGACTCCTCAGGCTTTTGCTGAGCCTCTGGGGTAGAGGTGAGGACTGGGATTCCCTCCCCCAAGCCCAAGTGGAGGGGGCACCTCCAGGTCCACATCTGGTGCAATGCGAAAGTCAAAGACAGCGCTCATGGTGGCGGGCACCACGTTAAATGCCACACCACCCTCTATCTTTGTCAGGTTCACACAGGTCACAGCCCCCTCCTTCAGGTTAGGCTTTGATTGGAGCCTGCAATTGGGAGTGGGGAGGACAACAGACATAAGAAGGCGCCTCAGCTTGCCTGCTGTCTTACACACCTCCCAGAGCAACCCCGGAGTGCGCCCTGCTCTGCTCATCTCACCTCTGCTTTTCCTTCTCCCGGAACGCCAGGACAGAGCTCATTACCTTGTGCTAGAAGGTGGAAGGTAAAGTCTGAGAGTGGCCCCAGGACACAGCCTCCCACACAAACCTCCCTGTGGGCTACGTGCCAGCTTTTCGGCTGCTGTGTCCTCAATAAAGCGTGAGCCATGGCCTGGTCTCCCAGTGCTCGTAAACCGCACCCCTGGAAGATGGAGAGGGCAGAGAGTGGCGTCAGTGAGAGAGGGCTTATAGATTCTACCAGCCCTAGGTGCCCTCTCATTCCAAGCTTCTCAGGCAGGGATCTATCCCCCTTGGAGCCAGCACTGTAGACCTGGTTCCCACTCAGAGCCTGTCCTCAGAGGTGCTCTGGAAGGGGCCAGAAGGCAGAGGCCCATGCCTCAGCCAGCTGCGTGGCCCTTTGCAGGCCCCTGCCCTTTCTGACCCGGTCTCCCCACTGTACAGTGAGCCCTCCCTCTAAGCCCATACTCACACCAGATAGCCCGCTCACTATAGAAGACAGTAAAGGCATCCGTGGGGTTGGCCAGGCCTGGGGGGTGGGGAGAGAGGTTCAGAGGGTGAACTGAGCCAACCTCCACTTCCCCCAGCCTCCTTTGTTGGAGGTCTGTCAGCTTGCTCACCCTCATCCAGGGCAAAGCCTACTCTCAGGGACTGGAACTCTGGCCGCTGTATGAATAACTTCATACCTTGAAAACCTCCAATTTCCTCATCTATAAGAGTGACAGAGATTTGAGATGCGGGGACCCACCCTCAATACAGCCTCCCTTTTCCCAAATATACCTCTCCCTGTACCACTCTTACCAGGCACAAAGGTCATGTGGATGGTTCTAGGAAAACGGTGGCCTGCATCCTTCAGCCTCTTCACTGCCTCCAGGTACCTGAGGGGGCACAAGCCAAAAGCTGAAGAAGCTACCAGATGCTCACACCAGCCCAGCAGGTAGGGCCAGACAGGGCTGGCAAGATGCAGACCTGTACCCTGGGTCCTCCCCTGCCATGGCTTGGCAGGGACTCCAGAAATCCCTGCTCTGGGCCTTAGTCCATGCAATGGCTACAGCAGTAACTCCTGCCCCAAGTAAGGGGTCAAGATATCCGTTGGCCCTGAGTTTGTTTACATGCCCGGCTCGTGGGTCAGTCCACTGTATCAGCAGACACTGAAGAGGCCTGAGAATAGAGGACACTCACTGGATGCTGACACTCTTCATGTCCTGGGTTCCCCTGGCATAGATGTAGCCCTCAGCATCTTTGAAGGCCTCAAAAGGGTCATGACTCCAGTGTTCCTAGGGACAGAGATGGAAGAGGGGCCCACCACAGAGCTGAAGTGACAGGTGGGGTATTAGAGAGACATGGACTGAGAAGGCATCTGCTTGCCGCCTCCATCTCTTGTCTCCTGCCTCCTCTCCCAAACCCAGCATAGAATCATTCGCTGGACAAAGACTGCTAGAGCTGAGTAACGCAGTACAGATGTCTAGAGTTTGTGTGAGGACTGGTGCCAGAGGCTCCTTGAGGTTGGATCCTGAAGTCTACATCCTGGCTGAGCCCGGGCATGCACACACTGCTCTGTACATACCTTGAAGACAGGCACCACATCCATGTGGGAGTTGAGTAAGATGGAGGAGAGTCTGGGGTTGGTGCCTGGCCAGGTCAGCACAACAATTACATAGCCAGGTGCCACCTAGACAAGGTCAGGAGCGGAAGTGGTACGTGTGGGTAAAGAGGTGCCCCAGGCCCCCTGTCCCTCCCACTTGGGACCCCAGACTCACCTCCACCTTCTGACAGCTCAGGCCCATCTGGAGGCCCCTCTCCTCAAGGAAGGCCACAGCAGCTCCTGTGGGCACAGGGTCTTCCTTGGGGCTGCTTCTGCCTACCTGTGGCTCCCACCATCCAGGCAGCCCAGCAAGGACAGCAGAACCCGAAATAGGCTGCTGTCTTCCCTACATAATTCCATATCTCTCAGAGATATTGACTTTTGCTCTATCTGTGACTCTTTGGACGGTCAAAGGGAAACTCTAGGGTTGGAAGCAGATACTATTCTTATCTTCCTTAAAGATAGGAGCACTATGGCCCAGAAATCTGAAGAGATTCACTGAACAGTTCTCAGTTAGAAATTACCAGGCAGGGATCTAGACCCTACCACCCCCCCCAAACAGCAGGTCCCAGGCACCAAGCTTGATTCCTTAGGCTGATGGACTTTGGCACCAGGAGGCTCCTGGGGGCCTCTCCTGTGGCTGCCAGTCTCCCACTCCACTCCTGCCCTGGGGAGCCTGGGGAACAAGGGAAAACTGTACCTTCTTTTTTTCTCATGTGTGGTGTGCATGTGTGTTTCTGGTACTAGGGAACGAACCCAGGGCCTTTGCACTGAGCTACATCTCAGCCCTTTTAAAATTATTATTATTATTATTATTATTATTATTATTATTTTGTACCGGGAATCAAACTCAGGACCTTGCTAGCATTTGCCAGGCAGGCACTGTGCCACTGAGCTATCTCCCCAGCCCTATTATTATTATTAATATTAATTTAGAGACAGGTTCTCAGTCACTAAACTGCTCAGGCTAGGCTCAAACTGTCTTCCCGCCTGAGTCTCTTAAGAGTGCTAGGACGCAGCTGTTTTTTAACTGCCAGGAAGGATTGGAGCAATACAGCCCCGGGGGAATGGGTTGTCCAAAGCCTAGCGGAGCTCGCTCCATTCGGGACCGATGAGTTCTCTGGGGCTGCAGAACGGGACTCAGCTGGGTGACAAGAGTTGGAGGAGGTTTAGCGGCAGCTCCCCCCACCCGGATCCGCGGGGTCTCACCGTAGTCCGGCTTGGGGTGCACAGTAGGGATGCGCAGGTACCGCCGGAAGAGCGTCACAGATGGATGCTCGCGCTCAGGACCCTCGCTGGCCATGGCTGCGTGTGAGGAGCTGGGGGCGAAGGGAACGCGGCTGGGACCAGGCGTCCGCCATCTGGGGTCGGGGGCTCCCCGAAGCTCCATGGGGAGAGGACCCCTTGTTTTGGAGCTCCATTCTGTGTCAGGCTCTGTGCAGGCCGCTTTCAACACAGTTCCTTATTTAGTCCCCCCAAAGAGCTCCAGAAGTTTGTGCCTTGCAGTGTTCACTTTACAGAGAGCAGCCCTCAAGGGTACGGGGACAGTTGGAAAGTAGCTGACACTGACCCCCGACACTGACCCCCGACACTGACCCCCGAGCCCCTCTCCACATATTGCTCCCACCATCTGGCTTTCATGTTGAGGAGCTCCAGCCCCAAGCTGCCCTTCTTAAAGTCCTACCCTGCTCTCCTGGCCTTTGGCCCTCGTTCGCTCTCAGTCCCAGAACCTGACTCGTGGCCAGGAGCCCGGGCCCAGGGAGAGCGCAAGCTTAAAACTACCCTGGCCTGCACACCACGAGGCCAGAGCCGCGTCACGGGGTGGAGCCTTGAGACTGCAAACCCGGCTGGTCAGCATAGCGAAGTGAGTAGAATATCTCCACCCGCCCTTACCCGGAGCTTCCGCTCGGTTTAGCTGAGATCCGACTCGCCCCGCCCTCAGCCAACCCCTCCCCCCCCCCGCTCTGCCCCGCAGTGGGCAGTTTTGGCCCCGCCCCTGACCGGATTGGTCCTGTGCAGAAGGAGCCAGCCTCCTCCTTCTCCTCCTTTCCAGCCTCTGGATAGGGCGCACAGAGAGGGGGCGGGCGCTGACGGTGAAGCAGCGGGGCGGGGCAACACTAGCTTTGAGGCTGCCCTGGACCTCTCCTCTTTGCTTGCCTCAACTCCTCTGGGCACGCTTCCCGGTGGAGTGAAGCTGTTGGTCAATGTCTGCCGACCCTGCATGGTGAACCCAGGAGGCTGGTGGGCCTGGTAGTCTCGAGGTTTGACTAGCCAGGCACTGAATGGGCGCCCAGACACTGTGCCTAGAACTGTCTCAACACCACTCCAGCACATAGATAGAGTCTGTTACTTTCCTGACAAGACAAATGTGATTTTCCTTATTGTGCCTGTAACAACCGTTGGACGGGAGCGCGTGTGACTGCGAAGGTGACACTGCGGGTAACTTAACAGTGGGCATGACTGGTACAGATGACAGTATGAATGTGAGATGGTGGGTGCGACAGATGTCACAGTGAGGGGGTGTAGTCCTAAAGCTGGATGACAGGGTGAGGGGTGGGGAGCAGCCCTCTTGTAGGGTGGACTATGCCAATCAATGCGCTGGCTCCTCTGAATGGGGGTGGGGTATATAAATCCCCCCAGGCTGTGTGCAACTGGAGCCACACTTTTAGGTGCCTGGCTGCTCTGTGTCCTCCCAGCCAGTTCTGCCCTTCGCTCCAGGGATGCAGCCAGCTAAGGGGAGGGCTGGCCAAAGACTTCGACCTCTGGACCAAGGAGGCAGGCTGGGTGTTCTATCTCACCCCTCCTTGGGTCAAAGTCTCAGGAGTGCTCAGCCAAAAGTAACAAGGGAGTGAACAGACTTGATAGCTCAACAACAAAGCTGCTTTAATTTTTAAACTGCATTCCCCACCCCCACCGCTGCAGGGCATCCCCAACTCACTGAGCTCAGCTGCCCAGACCCTGCATTTCCCACCAATCCCAGCAGTCACTGGACAGCAGTTAACAGCACCTCCAACCCACCCCCCACCCCATGACCAAGTGCCCCACTTAACCAGAAGTGTTCAGTGCTGCAACCATCATCCACAACAAGTTCTAAGTGTTACCATCATGCCCACTTTACGGAAGCAGGCACAGAGAAGTGAGGCACGGGGTGAGGATGTAGTGCCCTCTTAAGACTCCCAATTCCAGCTCCAGTCCCAAGGCAGCCCCAAACCTCCCACTCTCCCAAGACCCCGCCAGCACATAGAGCCTGTCACTCTCCTGGCAAGACAAACATGATTTTCTTTATTGTGCCTGTGAAATAAAATGAGAAGTCCTGGCAGGACCTGCCTCTCTGCCCTCTGCCCTCTGCCCTCCGATCCCAGGGACTGCCGCCCTGGAAGGGCAGAGCGGTAGTCCAGATCCTCCACACTTAGGCCATGCCTGGGAAAAGTGGTCAAGGCAAATGGTCAAGGAAGGCAAGAAGAACGAGGTGGAAGTCCTGTGGCTGGTGGAGGTAGCAGGCATGGCCCGCGTTGTGTAGCTTTACCACAGAGTGGTTGGGCAGGTGGCGGAGCTGCTGCAGTGACTCTTGGGCCAGGACGTGGTCCAGTTCCCCATACACAATGAGGGTTGGAGTCTGCAGGGCAAGGTAGGAGGGCATGATCCTGCGGCCTGCTGAGGATCCCACCCAAAGTACTATCTTAGGAAGCCTTCCCCAGATTCCTGCCTCTTCCACCCAAAATCAGCAGCCTGGCCCCACCTCCCACTGTGACACAAGCCAGAGACAAGGTGCAGGACTTCCTGAAGGGCCTTCTAGTACCTTCACTGCCAAGAATTGCTTCTGGGTGTAGTTCTGGGTGGAAGTGGGTGCGATGGGCACGAATCCACGTAGCTGGTGGTGGCCTCGAACCAGGAAGGGCAGGGCATAGCGGCCGCTGAGTGAGGGGCTCACCAGAACGACATTCTTCGCTTCCAGGTCCTGCAGTGCCTGCTGCAACAGCTTTGCCCGTCCTGCCTCTGTGCTTGCCTCCTTTGAAGGAGCTGAGTTCCCAAAACCTGGGAACAGCAGCAGGGGCTAAGGCTGGCTGGGAAGTGCCCAGCAGCTGTTGCCAGCCACAGTGGGGGAAAGAGATGGGGATCCATGTGGTACATGGCACACACTACCCCAAACTTTGCAGAAGCGCTTTTTTCTTTCTTTTTCTCTCTTTTTTCTTTCTTTTTTTTTTTTCAGAAGCGCTTATTTTTGGAATAGGCCTGCTAGGGAAACAAAAGTCTTTCATTTATCATATTGGCAAAACTTAAAAACAAAAAAACCAGGTAATACTCAGTTTTGGGGAAGATATCAGCAAGAGTACTTTGATACATATGACTACTGAGGGAAGGATAAATCCATAGTGTTTTTTAAGGTTGAGGTAGTATTTGTTAAAAATTTTTTAGTGTATCCTCTGACTTATCAGTTGGCCTTGATAGTTCCCTAGAGAAGGTACTGCCCCCAGACTCCAAGAAGCAGTCCAAAGATGCTTCCATTAAATTACTTAAATTACATTTCAAGTGACACTGACAATCCTAAATGTACTAGGACAGGGTGGCTGCGACTAAGCCTGTCTAGCCCTCCTACACCCCTCTGCAGCGCTAACAGCAGGTGTGGGGAGGGATCTGCAGGGATGCGCATGATCCAGAAATCATGATGTAGGGGAAGAAAACTAAGTTGCAGCCCTATCTGCTCAGGAGACAAGGCATATAGGGAAATGTCCAGCAGTACCCGCAAACTACTTTATGAGAGAAAGAAGTGTGCACCTATTTCCGAGGGCTTTGCTTTTTTTTTCTTTTTGCATTAAGACAAAAATGATAACTAGAGGATGTAGATCAGAGGAAAAGCATGTGCTTGGCATGCATGAGGTCCTGGGTTTGCTCTCCAACACCAAAAAAAAAAAAAAAAAAGGAAAAGAAAAACCAAAACCAAGGATCAAATATCTATGTATTTCAAAACAGGGGGCCAGGGAGATGGCTCAGTAGAATAAGTGCTTGCCTGGCAAGCGCAAGGGTCTGAGTTCAATACTTGATTCTGCAAAAAGAAAAGAAAAGAAAAGAAAAGAAAAGAAAAGAAAGAAAAACAAAGAAATGCTACATAGTTTGTAAAAAGAAAAAATATATATATAGGGAAATACTTCCTATCATTGCTTTGAGTCACATTTCTAGTTGCTGGGTGACACATTAATTCACACTGTAGTTTTCAAGGTAGAAAATAAAAACTGGTGGCACCTAGTGCTGTCTAGACAGCAATGGCCACATGATCTGGGCCACCTTAGGGCTTCTCTGTCCCTCCAGCTACCCCTCTGAAAAGATGTCCCTTTGTACTGGCTGCACCCTGCCTCCCTAGACCCGGGGAGGGAGTGCTCACCTGGAAGGTCAAGGGCCACAGCCCGGTAGCCCCTTCGAGACAGCAGCTGCAACGTGCCCAGCTGCTCCCATGTATGGGAGTTAAAGGCCTTTCCATGTAGCAGCACGACCTCCACCCTGTGGGCATACAGGAAATGTGGAGCCAGGGCACCCTTTCTCCTCCTAGGCTTCTCCCACTGCCCTCCCAGGCTCTGAGCACCCTGAGTAAAGTGGGGGTTCCTCTACTGGACCCTCAAGTCAGCACCCACCTGTGTGGCTGGTGGAGTGGGAGCACCTCGCGGTAAAAGATGGGGGGGCTGCCCCGGGTGAGGCCAGCCAGGACTGTGACATTGGGGTCTCTGCAGAGCCAGGAAGTCTGCTCAGGGGGGCCTGGCAGCCCCACATAAAGTAGCAGCATAAACAGCAGGCCTAGGCCCAGCAGGGCTGCCTGATATCTGTTCATGGAGGTCTATACCACAGCCTAGAGAAGAGGAGAGGAAAGAGGCCAGGCTGAACCCTCAGTCTCCCGGGCTCTATCCCCAAACCCCATCTTGACATCCTCTTCACAGGAAGAGCTCCAGCTCTTGTCCCTTTCCCTTGCTCTGAACAAAGGTCTAGGGGTTCACACTCAACCACTCCACGGACCAGGCAAAAGCTCAGCTAGCCCATGGCATGAAGAGGTGCATCTGAGATGTCCCTTGGGCACACAGCATGCCCAGTGGCCTCCATCATCACTGTCCCAGCTAAATCCACTTCTGTTCATCAAGACTGTAGGACAGCAGACTGCATATTCAGCTTACAAGTTCACAAAGAATACTGGGGAACAGACATGATTCTAGATCCCCACCAGGTGAATTCTCTTGCCTAAGAAGTAAGTGAGGGATCTAGGATTTGAATGGTAGGCTGGGCTCCTAATCATTAGGCCACATTTAGTTTAGAAAGAGGAAAACATGGAAATGGGTGGAAGTGACGGATGAACTGGAGCTTTGCTGGTGGACAAAGTGGTAAGGACTGCCACAGGAGGACGACAGTACAAGCAAAGGGACCTCCCCCAAGGGCATATTTAGGAAGGGTTCTTTCACACTGTATGCAATTTACAATTGATAGGAATACTTGATGGTCTATCCTAACTGTGGAATTTCACAGAGAATGTTGGTGATGGAGGAAATGCTGACGTTTGAGCTAGTGTGGGGAGACACGGAGGAGCACAGTTCACCTAGAAATGGAAAGGGCAGTGTGGAGGCTGAGAGATGACTCCCCTCCCCCCAGCTTTGTTCCAAATGACCTGCTTCAAGGAATCCTCCAGTCTATGAGTTTTGACTGCCCAGAGGACAGGACCCAAAGAAGGCAGGTAGCCAGCCCTGCTTTCTCCCTGGACTCTGCCACTTCCTGACTGATCTGTGTTTTGTCAGTGCAATGGGAAAAACGTATGGCAGCCCCTCCCAAGTCTTTTTTATTTATTTATTTTAGACAACATCTCACTATATAGTTCAACCTGGCTTTGAACTTCATAGCCCATGTTGACCTGGAAGTCACAATGATTCTCCTGCCTCAGCCTCCAAGCATTGTAAATGCACCACTACATCTGGCTCTCTCCCAAGTCTTCTGTGTGATATAAAAAATACAGTAGACCTGGGGAGGGGGTGTCTGTTATCATTTCTTGGGCCTGTGTGCTTTGTTCTGGAATGCCAATACACACAGCTTTATTGAGTGCCATCTGGCTAGAGCTTTGACTCTTGAGCCACACACCCCTCTCCATGACATTTTGGGGGTGTTTCCAGAGCCCCACCCCCAGGTTCCACAGGGAGGCAGTGGGCAGTGGTAGCCCACTTCTCTGATGGTGACTGGGCAACTCCCTTGTCCCTAAGCATGAATAGTCTCATCCAGCACAGCATGAGCGCAGGTTCCCATCAAGCAGAGGATCCACAGCGCACCTCTCCTTGGGGTTCACCTGAGAGAGGCCTTGTTAACTGCACATCTCCCAGGAGGGAGGGCTGGGACTTCTGATACTGCCTTGGCATCTCAGGGTTGGGCAGTTGTAGGCAATTTCAAGGGTCCAGCAGCAGGTCACTCTAAGGCTAGGCCACTGTAATAGTGCTGACAGTGGCACATGTGTATATATAAGTGCATGCAGACATTAGATCTGCCCCATATACTTTCTTTGGCACACATTATTCCTATGATGCACATACAGCTTTCTTGCACACGTACTGGCCCTTCCTCTCAGAAATCATGTTTGGGCACCAGGCAGACAGATGGACATACACTCTGAAAACCACATGCTGACTCCGGCAAATATTCGAGTATATAAGAATATATAAACCTTAAAACTACACACGTAAGAAACACAAGCACAGACAGATGGACACACAGAGACCTTTCAGAAGGGCACACACACACGTAGGTAAGTCTCACGCACACAGGAATACACAAAGTAGACAGCGACATAGCATGCAGATAGGCCAAGGAACATCTCCGGAGAGAAGCATGCAGCAGCTATCCTCTTCGGACACGCAGACACGCACACTCCGGCCTAGTCCCTGCCCCTTCTGCAGGACTCCGCTCCAGGCAGCCGGGGTGGGGGGTGGCCCGTCCCAGCGGTCTGTGGTCTTGTCTCCCTGGGGACACTCACCGGGCCGACCGGGATGACGGGGCTGGTTACCCAGAGGTGGCTCCGCCCCCGCTCCGGAGGACTCGGCAAGCTCAAAGCGCCGCCGCCCAGGAGTTGCTCCCCTCCTCCCAGCCGGCTGTAGGGCCAGTAGGGGGAGGAGCGCCGCGGCGGTGACGCCTGCGCAGTCGAGCAGCTAAGACGCGGCCTTTTACCCAGAGGAAGAGGCGCCGAGGCTGCGGCCCGACCGCTGAGTCCCGCCCCATGCAGATTTTTCGAGTTGTTTTCCCTTTGGGAGCCAGCGGAGAGTTACCTGGATTCCTGGATTCTTCCTACCAGGATATCTTTACTTTGGCTGAGTTTTCTGTGTCTACACCGAATAGGACTGTCCTCTGACTTAAGGATGGGTCAAGCCTTAGAACAGGACCGGCGACAAGCCTTCCAGTGTAAATGCTAGATACTGTTACTACGCAGTAGCTCCAGGTCCCCGCCCAACCGCTGCCCTGACCCTCCGCGCGCGCATGCACACACGCGCGCGCCCAGAGCCTGGGTGGCTCCCCGTCTGTCCCAGGCTCGGGGGTCTGCGTGGCCCAGGCCTGGTCCCGGGATGCTCTGCAGAGCGCCGGTTCACTCGTCGGCACCCTGAGAAGGGTGGCAGCTTCCGCCCATTCTCCAGGCAAGGAAATAGGCTCTGGGGCGCTGCGCGAGCGCTGAAGGCCACCTGCCGGACTCCGGCAGAACTCTGCGCTCCAACCTTTACCCCTCTACCGGGCGCCAAGCGGCCAGTGCAGGCGTGACGGGATGAGGACTGGGGAACGGAGGAGAGCCGTAAGGAACCGAACGAACCCTCCTCCGCAGGGGCGCCACGTCTTTCAGGCGCAGGTCACCGAGGGGACTGAAAACACGCCCAGCTTGGCGCCTGGGGCCAAGGATTTGGGGAAACTAAAACCGCTGTGGCTGTGACAACAGGAGTGGGTTTAGCGGCGCGACCAACCCAGAGGCAGCTGTGGCCAAAAGAGGGCACCATGGAGCAGGGCCCGGCTCTTCCTAGTTTTCCTATTCTTCCCGCATTCTCCCAGCTGCCTGCACGAAACCACGCAGCTCCCCAGGTACCCACTTTGAGCTCCTGCCTTTCTCTTCCTCTCTCCACTCAAAACCTCACCAAGTCTTCCCATTTTCGGCTCCCCAGGACCTCTTCCCTTTGGGTTGCCTCCTTTCCTCCGCCCTCTAAATCCAGACAGCCTGAACCATGGTCTGCGGAGTGGATCCTGGAGCCCTGGTGGCGCCCAGGACTACACCCCTAACCACAACGCGTTGGACCCTATCGGGTTGCGCGCAGAACACCCGCATTCCTTGCTGGAAGGAACTCCAATGTCTTTGCCTGCCTGGCATTTGGGTTTCCATCTTTGGAAAAATGAGCTTTTTCTTCCTCGAACCTGTACCATTGGCATTGGCCTGAAGAAGGTTGATAATCCAAGTAGTAAAGTAGAGTGTATTTGTTGTTGGTTGAGCACTTACTGTGCGATAGACCCGGTGCCGAGTTTTTACACGCAGGGCCCCATTTAATCCTGCCCACTGCCTGTGAGCTAGTACTATTGGATTACTCCACTTGTAGAAAAGGACAATAGCGATAATTGTAATGGGAGCCCTGTGTATTGAGTTATTTTTTCTTGAACTCTTAATTAAGTTCTTTTTTCTTGGGGTAGGCTTTACTTTCCCATGTTCAGGATGAGGAAGTGGAAGCCCAAGGCCACCCAATTGAGTGGTAGAGGAAGAAATAACACCTGTATCCGCCTGACCCTAAAACATGTTCTAGGGTCCTGAAAGCCCCACCCCCAGCACCCATACCTATTGCTTTCTACAGGACTTCTGTCCCCCAGGGCAGGCTGTTCTGTGACCTCTCATTTATCAGACTTTGAACTGCAGGCACATTAGGACACGGTGGTTGCAGCAATGGCAAGTGTGGAGGAGCACGAGGGCACTGTCCAGGTGCAGGGCCAGGGCCTATTCTTCCGAGAAGCACGGCCTGGCAGCGGGCAGACTGCTCGTTTCTCTGTGCTGCTGTTGCATGGCATCCGCTTCTCTTCTGAGACCTGGCAGAACCTGGGTACACTGCATAGGCTGGCCCAGGCTGGCCACCGGGCTGTAGCCATTGACCTGCCAGGTACTTTGGGGCAAACTTCTGGGGCAGGGGTTGGGGATTCAGGGCCTGGGGCTAGAGGAATGGGAGGACCTATCAAAGCTGGACGCTAAGGTTGACAAGAGTTCAGTGCACACTACAAGGTCCTTTGAGTTACTCCAGTCTTAATCTAGATGTGGTCTAGATAGACACTGCTCAGCAGCTCCTCGGTTACCTGGGCAGGTATCTCACACTCATGTTTGGGTTGCTATTAGTGCAAATGGAGGAATGAGATTAACCTTCACAGGTATGCAGTTAGAACCTCCTATAGAGCAATGATGTTTTAACAGAGCCAATTCACAAGCTTCTGGGGTCCTGGAGGAGTGACACTTGTGTCTTCTGGTGTCCTGGGAGCCATGGAAGGGTCTGGTGGGTGGGTAGCTCTTGGTAATCATCCCACTGCAGAGTCCTGAGTTGAGCTCTGGAGGAAGGGGCAGAGAGAGCCCTCAGACCATCTGTCATATCCTGGACTGCCAGGCCTCCCCCATACTTAGTGTCTAGTGTGAAAGGGGTAGCGTGGTCCACCTAATCCTTTCACAGGCCAAGGCTGGTATGATTTATGAGCTCAAGGCTGGGTGTCCAGACTCGATAGGACTGGTTCCAGAAATGGGTTGAGCTGAACTTTGATGCAAAGGTCTGGAGCTAATACTGTTGTTAAAGGTAGAAGAAACTGACCAGAAGGGGTGGGGGCTGGGCATGGAAGCAGCCCCTTGGCCATGTCCTCCAGGACCCTTTTCTGTGACGATGGTCAGGTGCCTTTTTAAGCAGTTAGCCTCATTTTTACAACACTCTTAACATGATGGATACTTTCATTATCCTCTTGTAACAGCAGAGAACCTGAGCAGCTGAGAGAGGGCTGAGGGGGTTTAGCCAACGTCCTACAGACAGTAAATAGAGGATAAGGACTTGGCCCTACTTAGACCCTGATTCTTTAGGACACTTAGTTATGGAAAGGATGGAGGGAAAGCCTCGTGTTTGCCATGTAGTTGATAGATCAGGCTGCTGCAGGTATAAACATGACCCAGCAGGTGTTAGAGGAACCTGGGCATACAGCTTAACTCAGAAGGGCTTCCTGGAGGAAGGGACCTTGTTTTTCCACTCACTGCCCTTGTCTTGTTTCTTCTACATTTGAATCCCTGCAGGTCTGGGGCGTTCTAAAGAAGTGCCTGCCCCTGCTCCCATTGGGGAGTTGGCCCCTGGCAGTTTCCTGGCAGCTGTGGTGGAGGCCTTGCAGTTGGGCCCCCCGGTTGTGATCAGTCCATCACTCAGTGGCATGTACTCCCTGCCCTTTCTCACAGCCCCTGGTTCCCAGCTCCGGGGCTATGTGCCTGTGGCCCCCATCTGCACTGAGAAAATCAGTGCTGCCGACTATGCTGGCGTGAAGGTACCCCCCCCTCCTGGGAAGCCGAGTTGCCCATGCAGGAGCCAGGGAGAGTCTATGCCTGAGCCTTCCTCATCAGGGCTGGGGAACCAAGGGGTGGCTTCTGGGAGGAGCTGACCACTAGATTCCACATTATGGTCTGTTTGATCACTGTGCACATTCTGTGCTAAACTGTGTGCTGGGCAGATACAAACCCATGCTCCCAACCACTGGGCCAGCTGGCCTCTTCCTTAAGAGTGGCCCCAGGCAGAGGCTGAAAGTAGTGAGAAGGGCTGGAGCTGACCTTCCAAGGCTGGGCCTGGTGTGGCTGGGCCCCGGTAACCCTGTCTCTCTTCATTTCTCTCAGACTCCAGCTTTGATTGTATATGGAGACCAGGACCCCATGGGTCACACCAGCTTTGAGCATCTGAAGCAGATACCCAACCACCGGGTGCTTGTCCTGCAGGGGGCAGGGCACCCCTGCTACCTGGACAAACCTGAGGAGTGGCACAGGGGGCTGCTTGACTTCCTACAGGGGCTGGCATGAGCCAAGCCCTGCAGATAGAGGGGTTGGCTACTACCTGCCTGCCTTAGGATCTCTCTCCTTGCTCAGTGGGCTCTGGCTAACCATGCATTTCTAACAGGTGTGTCTATCTTCTTTTCTGCTTCTTTTACTTGCAGCGATGAGGTAAAATGAAGAGGAAAAACTCAGAAATCAATGGATGTACTCTGGCAGAGCTTAATCCAGGAGCTTCTACTGGCTATCCTTCCTTCCTCTCCTTGCTTGGCAGGCCAGTCATCCCCTTCCCCACTTCCCTACCCCTGAGACCACAGTTACATACACACATGCCCACACACATACACATTAGAGGCACCTACGCTCTCAGGCAGGTCCCTTCACTTGGGAGCAACTAACTCGATCTTTCTGATCAGACTGTATCTTCCCAGGCACATTGGGTACACATCTTGGCTTGCCCAGGTACAAGTGGATTGCAAGCTGCAGCTCCTCACTGCCTGGGAAAAAGTGAGGACCTCACCAACCAACCTTGGGCCAGGCTTAGGGCGTGGCCAACCCTAGACTCCACCCACTCACCTACTGGTTACTATGGTCTGCAGCCTAGAATTGCCCCTGACCAAGGGAGGGCTGACCCCTGCCTCTAAAACTCTCTGCTTTTTCCTCTGCTTCTGGGGTCTCCACCCTTTAGCCCCACCCGTTATCAGGCTTGGGTCTTCTCAGCCAAGCTTGTTTTCTGCCGTATGGTTTAAGGAGTGAGAAGACAGACTGTGGAGGCTGGTGAAATAAAGCGATGCAATTAGACCCCACAGTCTCCTGCTCTTTCCAGAGCGCCGCCCCTCCCCCCGCCCCTTGGGACTGCCACTGTGGCCCCTCCCCCAGCCTGGCGGCACCAGATGGTCCCCCTGCCCTTTGTCCACCAGGCCAGATGGAGGGAAAGAGATTGGATTCCCCTCCCCACCCACGCATATCCAGGTGCCAAGAGACTCAGCTGGGGGGAGGTGGAGGTCAGTGGGACTAGGCTGAGCCGATTACCCAGACAGGGAGGAATACTCTGTGCTCCCACAGTGGGGAGGGCCAGGAGACTTGGGGACATCTAGTTGCCCCCTCCTGGCACCCCGTCACTTGTGGTCCTGGCCCAAGAATAAATTCTAGGAGTAGTTTGGGAGCACCACAGGGTGGGTTGCACAGGAGCCACACGGCTCGCGGGCCCCTCTTCCACGGGGCTGGTTGGGTAGCCCGTTTTGTGCACACCGGCGGGCTGTGCGGTGTGGAAGCCATGGGCAGCTGGTAGGAACGGGTTTCGATGTCGAGCCCTGGAGCGGAGGAGAGCCGGACAGGGTGGAGGATCGAAGCCCGATCGCCCGGGAACCAGGGCCAGAGCCAGGCGGGGCTGGTCCGAAATGGGGGGCGCTGGGGTTCCGTGGAGGCGCCGAGCCCTAGGAATGC